TGTCATTTTTTCCAACCATGTGTGGATTATAGTCCAATATCTTTTTGCATCCGAGCATGTCCACCACATGTGGTAATATTTATTTATTTATTTATTTATTTATTTGATTTGCCAATTGTTTACAAGATAATAAGTATAAGCGTATACATAGTTGTGAATACATGAAATGGGTACATATAAGAAAAATAAAAGAATAAGAGAAACAATAAGGACAGGGACGGTAGGCACGTTGGTGCGCTTATGCACGCCCCCTACAGACCTCTTAGGAAGGGGGTGAGGTCAATAGTAGACAGTCTAAGGTTAAAGTTTTTGGGGTTTGGGGAAGAAACTACAGAGTCAAAAAGAGTATTCCAGACATTGACCACTCTGTTGCTGAAGTCGTATTTCTTGCAATCAAGTTTGGTGTGGTTTACCTTGAGTTTGTATCTACTGTGTGCTCTTGTATTGTTATGGTTGAAGCTGAAGTATTCACTGACAGGTAGGACATTGCAATGTATGATTTTATATACCATGCTTAAGTCAGACCGAAGACGGCGTAATTCAAGGTTTTCTAGTTCTAGAATTTCAAGTCTGGTGGCATAAGGTATTCTACAACGAGTAGCAGAGTGGAGAACTCTCCTTGTGAAATATTTCTGGACTTTCTCAATTGTGCTAATATCAGATACGTAATGAGGGTTCCAGACTGATGAACTGTATTCGAGTATTGGTCTAGCAAATGTTTTGTATGCTCTGGTTAGTAGTGTGATATTACCAGAGAAAAAGCTACATAGGATTAGGTTAACAACTCTTAATGCCTTTTTGGCTATGTAGTTGCAGTGGGCTCTAGCACTTAGATCATTAGAGATGAGTATTCCAAGGTCCTTTACAGAGCTTGGGTCATCAACAAGTTCTTGACTATTCAGCTTGTATTTTATTTTCTGATTTTTTTTGCCAATATGTAAGACAGAGCATTTATTTGTTGAGATTTGAAGTTGCCATTTGTTTGACCATTCAGATACATAGTCGAGATCTTTTTGAAGGGTAGCAGTATTGTCTGTGGTATTGAACAGCTTTACATCATCAGCGAAAAGAACGCAATTGCTCTTAATATGATCGCAGAGGTCATTTATGTAGAGTATGAAGAGAGTTGGTCCTAGAACACTGCCCTGGGGGACACCACTATTGACAGGTACTGGATTTGATAGGACGCTTCCGATTTTGACCATTTGTTGTCTGTTTGACAGGAATGCTTCTATCCAGTTATTCAGTTGTCCAGAGATACCATAGGATTTTATTTTTAGGAGTAGTTTGTCGTGTACCACTGAATCAAAGGCTTTACAGAAGTCTATGTAGATTGCGTCTATTGCTTTGCCCTGGTCGAGTTGTGTCGTCCATATGTTTTTGCAGTGTAAGAGTTGCAGATTACAGGATAGTTTTTTTCTGAAACCAAATTGTTTATTGGAGAGTAGGTTGTTTGTCTCTAAGTGGAGGATAATGGATTGGTTAATAATTGATTCCATGACTTTACAGGTGACGCAGCATAAGGAGATTGGCCTGTAATAAGGAGATTGGCCTGTAAATAAGGAGATTGGCCTGTAAATAAGGAGATTGGCCTGTAAATAAGGAGATTGGCCTGTAATATGAACCAGGTATCTGATGACATTTCCAACATTTATCCGATTTATCCTTGAACATCCTGGCAGTTCTCGTCGGGGGTAAGTGCCACCTGTAAAACATCTTTTACAAATTTTCTTTATACGCAGTTGACATTGTCATTTTATAATTTTGAGACCACAATTTTTGCCATTTATCTAAGTCAATCCCATATCCGAAATTTTTCCCCCACGCAATCATTGTTTCTTTTACTTGTTCTTCCTCTAATTTAAACTCTAGCAAATGTCCATAAAGTTTTTTGATTACTTTTTCATCAGTACCTGTCAAAATTTTATCTAAATCAGTCAACTTGTCATAGATACCTTCTGTTTTAACATCTTTATCAAATCTAGATTGTATTTGCAAATATGAAATCCAATTCATTTTTACACCTTGTTCTTCCAACGCTTGCATAGATTTAAGTTCACCCTTTTCATTCAATATCTCACCATATCTAACTGTTTATTCCTTTTTATATATTATTGGATAGGAAAAAGCTTCAATAGTAGATAACCATAGTGGAATTTTTAAATAATATTGCTTTTTTATCTTCTCCCAGTTTAGAAACAATGCTTCTCGAATATAATGTCTTCTAAAATACCCCTGCGTTTTAGTTCCCTTATACCAGAGGAAGGCATGCCACCCTAACAGCAAGTCATGTCCTTCTAAATTCAAAAGTCTAGTATTCCTTAATGTTAAACACTCCTTTACCCACATCAGACTTGTCGCTTGGTAGTATAATTCCCAATTTGGCAAATCAAATCCTCCTCTTATTCTTGCATCTTGTAACAATTTAAGTTTTATTCTCGCTTTCTTCCCCTGCCAAATGTATTTTAGCACTATTTTGTTTAAATCTTCAAAAAATTCTTTCCCTAATCTGATTGGAATTGTCTGGAATAAGTATAAGATTCTGGGCAATACATTCATCTTAATTGTAGATATTCTCCCAATCAGTGATAATTGTAAATTTTCCCATTTTATCAAATCTGTCGCAATCTGTTGTTTAAGTTTGAGATAATTGTCCTCCTTAAGTGTGCTACATCTTGGTGTTATATGTATCCCTAAATACTTTACCTTGTTTGTGACCTGGATCCCCAGAACTTCCTCCAATTCTTTGTTTCGTCTTACTAACATGTTCTTTGCGAAAATCTTTGTTTTATCTTTATTTATTTTCAAACCTGCTACTTTCCCATACTCTTCTATCTTTTCTATCAGTTTAGGTGCAGACTCCAATGGATCCTCTAATATAAATACCAGGTCATCTGCAAAAGTTTGTAATTTATACTCTTCTTTTTTAATTTTCATTCCTTTTATTTCTTTTTCTTCTCTGATGTTCCTATTCAGCACTTCCAGTGTTAACACAAACAACAGAGGTGACAGTGGACAGCCTTGTCTGGTCCCTTTTCTTATATCTATAAAGTCTGTTAACTCTCCATTTATCATAACCTTTGCAGTTTGTTTATAATATATCATTTTGATGGCTTGAGTAAATTTTTTACCAAAGCCCATTTGGTCCAATTGTAACAGCATAAAATGCCAATTCACATTATCAAAGGCTTTTTGTGCATCTATAAATATCAGAGCCATTTGTTTTTCAGGATGTGCCTCATAGTATTCCAGTGTATCTAAAATTATTCTCATATTATCTTTAATCTGTCTCTTTGGCAGAAATCCATTTTTATCAGGATGAATAAAATTGTTTAAATATCTTTTCAGTCTTTCTGCCAGAATTGAAGCAAAAAATTTATAATCTGAATTTAATCGTGATATAGGTCTGTAATTTTTAATGATTTATAGCTTTTATGTACTGTTCTGTCTTTAAACTGCTGGCTGAATATAAAGACAGACAGACAACTCTACAAAGGCTTTGATACAAAGTTTCTTTATTGGGTCACCAGGCATCCTCAAATATAACTCATGGTTATGTTGAGATCCATCTAATGTCCAATTCTTTGCATAGCTGACTTCATAGTGTAAAAGAATAGTGATCTTTCATCCCATAACGAAGAAGCAAGAGGGTGAGGCACCAGCATGCTGCTGGAGTCCAGGCAAGAGTGAAGGAACCTCCCCCAACCCAACCAAGGGTCAATTCAGTGACCAATCAGGATTACAGTTGTGACCACATGACATGAACTACATTTCCCAGGATGCATTAACTACATTTACCATGAGGCATTCCCTTAAGGGGACAGCTCCCAATTCTAACTTAGCTAACTCAATTCCCATTATCTATATACTGTCTGGACAGCACACTCCCCACCTGGAATTATAAATTCCACTACTAACTATATTAAGTTATCAATTAACTATATAAGTAAGATAAACAGTAAGCAGTAATATAGCATCAAACAAAGCAAAGCATGCAAAGCTTGAGGTTCAATCTTCAAATTCAGCCTTTCTCCACAGCAACACTTGGTCGGTGACCAGTCTGGTGTAGAGCTTCTTGGTGAAAGTCTGCTGGTCACTTCTGATGACCTTGTAGGGTGGACAGGTACTCTTGCTTCCAACGGTTCCAAGGGGTGTTGGCAAACTTTTGGAATAGATGTTGCGAAGACATTTGCCTGGGATGGAACCTGCAGCCAATCGATGCAGACTATCCTTGTGATTCCCCATCCTAGCACTGTCTTGTAGGCAAATAGGGAGCCTTTGGGGCCTTTGACTACTTCAGTGTGAACGAAAGCATCAGGTATGCCTGCTCCCAACAAGAGCAGAATCTTGGCTACCGGATCTAGAGCAAGAAAGTGCTGAGCTGTGTGCTTCAGGTGAGGTATGTTGCTTGCTACCTCTGGTGTTGCAATCTGGCTGTGGTCATCTGGTATCCCATCCCATTCTAACATAGGCAACAGTGGGAACTGGGAACTCCCACCTAGTGGCGCTATACAGAGTCCAGTTGCTCTCCTCCCCACCGTGCTTTGTGGTACAGTGTACGTTGATATCGTGAACTGCACTTCTTCCTTTGGAACAGCGAAGAGGTCAAAGAATGCGGATATGACCAGTGAGCCAGTGCTCTGATTATCCATTATTATACACAACTTCACTGCTTCTTCTGGGCGTCCATCGGGGTAGACATTGGCTAAGCAGATCTGATGACACAAACGAGGGAATAATGTGTTGTTGCATACTGCTGTGCAATTGAAACTCGCCACTGGCTCTGGTGGTTTCTCTGTAGTATGCTGAGGCTCCTTGGCCAAGGGAAGGTTATGAGTTGTCTGCTATGGTAGCTCAGAGTCTGAATGCAGAGCAATTGGGTGCTTGTTGCTGTCAGCATCCTCGTAGGCATGGCGTTCTGGCTCGAGGGCTGTATTGTAGACGGTTCGTGGTTCTCCTCACAGTACTTTATGAGGAGGTTGTGATCTGTTAACACATACGCAGGTGGTCTCTCTTGCTGCCAGGTGTGGGTACCACATTCGTCTTGCCATACATCTGCGTTAGAGTTGCCTGGAGGGTGTGGCAGGAACTCTTTTGCCTGTGAATTGAGTGTGGCAACTGTGGCTGCTTGCATGCCTATCTGTTGAGAAATCTTTGTAGTAACTGGTGGGCTAAGTTGCTTGCCCTGTAGGTCTTGAGACCTTGGTGTAGGTTTTTTGTTTTCGGGAATGGAATCTCGCGTTTTAGGTCTTACTACATCACTTTTTGGACTGTCATCTAGAGCCTCTGGTTGATATTCTCCCCTTCTATCCCTTGGTTCTGGGAGACTGATAACTAACCATGCCGGTTCCACCTGCTCATTTCGTAGCGAGTACTGCTCCTCCACATAGGCCTTGACACGTTTATCTGGGCTCTCTCTTTCCAACTCTCCAAGGTTGAAGTTGAGGTAGGCGTTGTCGGCCACCTTCTGCAATGTTGCAGCCCGTGCTGTTTTTGCTGCTGGCTCTTCCCATCCTTCCAGAGCATCCTCCCGTCGCAACGACATATCCAAGACCTCAAAAGCAGCGAATTATGCCGAACGATTGAAGACAAATTCCTTGTGTGTCCAATCACATTTGGCCAAAAAAGAATTCTATTCCATTCTATTCTATATCCCAAAATGTTCCTTAAAAAGTTTGGGCCAATCCAGCTAGCCTTAAATGCCTTAAGAACTAATCATTTTATTATGTTGTGAAGGAAGTTAAGTCATTTAAATACTGTTTTAATACATGTTTTAGTGAGCACTAGAAGCAAGTATATATCTAAGAATAGTTTGGTTAGGCGCCAAATGAAAGTTGGTAAAAATAGCTGAAGATGATTTAATATTTAATTGTACATTTAATAGGTACAGCACAAAAACTTGGGTTTACTTTAAATTAATTGTTTTTTGTAATTAATTTGTAACGGATCACATTCATAATTTTTTATTTCCTTGCTACTGAATAATAAATGCTTCCAGTTTCTTGTTCATTGGGATCTTCCCATGGAATGTTACTCAATATGCCCATGCGCACCTGATCTGACTTTCCAAACCTGTCATAAAGTATTTGGAACCTAAAGTCCCCTATGGTCCTGCTTCAATACAGGAAACAAACCTCATCTTGGGAAGAGAGAGAAAACTTGTAAGTTGCAAATAGGATCGAACAAGAGCTCCATTGTAGAGTTCTTTCTCCTGCAGTAAGTTTACATTATTTTTCCCTGTTGAAACTACTAGAATTTAAATATGCTTACTTTTTTCTAGATCAGAGATAACTTTTGGGCTCCGTACGTTAAACATTCAGAAAATGCCTAATTTGATTCTGTTGGTGTGTGTGTCTCTCTATCACATGCACAAACACACCCAAACAAAAGAGAAATAATTCTTTACATATTTGTTTATTTTAAAAAGCGGAATCCAAACATGTGTGTGATCCCCAGAATCTCCTGCTTGTCACTTACCTTCAGGTGTCCCAAAAGTGCTTTTTCAAGAGCTGAAGAAACTTCTTAGATGAGAAGCAAAATGTCTTCAAAGAAAAAAAACAGAAAGTCCAGTTGCCTCTTTAAAAAGCACTTTTGGGACAACCAAGGGTGACTGAGAAGCTCCATAGACATTTACCTTCAGGTGGTATTTTATTTCTGTTGACTGGCCCTTATGGCCTACCCAAAGCCGATCTGGTCCCACAAGGCCTTTGCTCCTTGAAGTGGCTTTGGAGAATGCTCTTCTTTAGTCTCTGCAGCCTCCAAAAACCACACAAAAGAAGACTCATTCTGCAAGGTTTTGAGTGTCCTCGGAGGCCACATGGGAGCATGGCCTTCTCACACAACCTGGAGGGTCCAAGGACCATGCAATTTTCAGATACTCTGGAAGCCATTCTCAGTGTCTCCAAAGCCTCTGAAAATCATGTGACAAAGAGACATGTTCTTGAATGAGATGTGAATGCTGGTATAGCAACAAAATGTTGCGGCATTTCACCTTTGGCACACATGTCATAGGATTGCCATCTCTGGCCTAGATCATTCTTTGTGGATTCAATTCATGAGAATGGTTTATTATAAATAATAGCTGTTTATTTAGCAGAGTACTTAATTTTAAAGCTAGAATATATTAATTTTGCCAAAAATGTTCACTGGAGGATTTAAAATTCCAGTGGAAATGTTCTCCATATAATATACTGTTACAGAATAAAAAATGACTCCAACGCTGACATTCACTAATATAAAAAACAAGTATTCATAAAAGAGGGACTAGTTCTTTTAAATGTGTATTTTATCACTGCATATATCTGATTATCCCCAGCCAAACATAAACAGCGTTCTTCTGCACCAAGGGTACGGAAGCAGAGAAGTTAAATTTTATAGAGCAATGGAATTGCTACATTCGCAGTGCTGCTTATTGCACCAGAGTTTAACATCGACAAATCAGATGATGATGCTGTTCAACACACTTCACACTTCCGGGCTCCCATCTCTGGGGCACATTTAACATGCCAGTCAAACAGAAGAAAAATTAACTCAGCATAGGATTACTAGAGAGCTGAACACTAGGACACTGACAATTGGACAGAAGGTCAAATGGGGCTAGGACACACAAACTGTTTTAAGTTTCTTGGTATCCACAACAAAAAATACCTGCCCCCCCCCCCCCCCCCCCCCCCCCAAAAAAAAAAAAAAGTATTTAGGCCTAGATGCATATGACATTATTTTTTCTAGCATCCAAGAGACTTTTCTCTCTCTCTCAATTGAAGGAATGTGCTTGAGAAGTTAGGAGGTAAAAGTCTTCAGTGAGTAACTGATTAAGGTTTTGTCAATTTCAGGCAGCAGCATAAACAGGCCAAAGGTTCCAATCAACTAATTAAAGTCACAGAGTGGAGCTTGTTAACTTGCCATTAGCAGTTTTAGGGAAGCCCAGCTCCACAGATAAAAGCTATTCTGGAAGAGATAAGCTTGTTAGATACTCAAAAGACCAGGCACTGTTTTTTTTTTAAGGCTAGGCCTGCCTGGCAGAGGACATGAGGAACAAAAGGAGGATCTGTCTTCCTTTTGCAGGGCACCTGACATCTCAGTGTCCCAAGACAGTAGAACTACATGTGTAGCCAGATGCTTAACTTGGATTTGGCATTTTTGTCCCCCTCTTGAGTCCTTCTCCAGTATTGTTGTTCGTTAATGTTAAAGGTAAAATTGCAGGATGTAAACTGTTCCAAGTAAAGCTGCCTTTTGCAATTGGTTGGCAATGATTTTTGTCAATGCTGATGTTGTTCAAGGGGTACCAGATATTTTGGGATTGCACCAAAGTGCCTATCACTATTGGTGCTATCTTTGCTTTGTTATAGCTATAGACCAGGGGTGTCAAACTCACGTAGTCACGGCGTCGTCACATGATGTATCGGGACTTTTTCCCCCTTCGCTAAACCAAGTGTGGGCGTGGCCAGAGCATGACGCATCCGGCCCATGGGCCGGGAGTTTAACAGCCCTGCTATAGACTTTCTATTTGAAGGCCTTTGTACTTTGTGATTTTCTCCTGTTCTGTCTCTTCTATTCTGCTGTCTCCAAGGTCTGTGTACTCTACAGACTTATTTTTATTATTAATATGATTGAAAATAAAAGTAAACATTTACAGTGTTTGGCTGGGCCAAAGCTTTTCATGTTTACAGATATACTGAAATCCATATTTGATTTAAATTAACCACTGTATTCCAAGTTCATTCATTGATTTATTTCACTTATTTCTTTCTTAACTACACTTTTGATGTATAATTTAATTTCTTTACCTTTTTCCTTGTGGGCAACTCACTGCACCTTAGAATATTGCAGTATACAATAGATATTCAGTTCAGTGATCATCTCACCTCACAATAAGAGTTAAACTGTAAAGTAAATGATAGGCTTTGCACATTCTGTCACATTGCATCTAACAGCACTCATTCCTACAATGTAAATCCTAAGGGTTGCCAATTTTTATTCTGAAAAGGGAAAAATATGAAAAACGTCAACATCACTTGCTACGTTTTCAAGGAATACAGATCCATGTGGTTCAAAATAACAAACATAAAAGATCATGTGAAAATTTGTAATCATAGGCAAAACAACTTTAAAATATTCACTGTTCAGAAGGCAGTTCACAAGCAATCTTAGGTACTTAATTTTCCACTATGTCACTATATCTCAAATTTTTGAATAACTATGAAATTTTGTTTAGATAATGGGCTCAGAACACTCCCACATTACCACTCCCTGTCGCATGTGGGCACTGGCTACATGCTCTCTGCAGCATCAGCTGATGTCAGTTACATAAGGCTCATGATTGGACAAAACCTGTTAGCTTGTCTCTGCAATCGGAAGGTATCGGTAGTCTCGCAACCGCGGTTCTCCTCTCAGCCCCCTGTGTATAAGTCGCCCCTCCATTTTTAGGTAAATGTTTTAAAGAAAAAGTATCATCTTATACACGGAAAAATCTGGTGGTTCTCTTAATCCATTCTAAATGAAAGACCAAAAAAGACAATCTGTACAAAAAGCCATTGAGACAATCTGCCATCCTACTATCTGCCTTATTCATTGCTGACTGATCCAGAAATATAGTAGTCCACCAAGTTATAAAGCTCTGCCTTGTACAATGGAATTGGGCAAACTGTTTTTATAGGATGGGGCTGTTCCTTTTGTACGAAGGGAAAAACTTTTGAAAGCTGCAGATCATAGCACATAGGGATGTGAATGGGCATGGCATCATGCAAAAGGCAGAAGTTCTGAATTCAATAAGCCAGGAATGTTTTTTCCTAGATATGGAAAGAAATGTGTTCTCGTCTGCTTTAGCTATGCTAAGCCATCTGAAGATTTAACATATTCTGCTTCTGCGCATTCACATGTGACATTTTCTCTTTATTTTTAAAAAGTCCAAGCATCTTTTTTTTTCTTCCTAAAAATAAAAAAGAACCAAAATCCCTTTTAAAACTTTGAAAGGCATAAACCTGGGGGCCTTTTCTTTCTCAAGAAAAAAAAAAAAGTCAGAAGGAAATCAGAGATCACTACCAGGCTGTATATTGTGGATTGCAGACCTCTCTTTAAAGGGATCTAGGTCTTGCATTAGTTTCTTGGGACTAAGCATGAAAACAAGATGCAATCTGAGAAATTAAGAAAGAGTGTGTGGTCACCGGACATGCTTGTTTCAGATAGTTTGTGGGGATCAATGGTCTAGACCAGGGGTCTCCAACCTTGGCAACTTTAAAACTTGTGGACCTCAACTCCAAGAATATAGCGAATTCTGGGAGTTGAAGTCTACAAGTCTTAAAATTGCCAAGGTTGGAGACCCCTGGTCTAGATCATGGATCCCCACAAACTTAAAGTTGCCACGGTCTTAAAGTTGCCAAGGTTGGAGACCCCGATCTAGGTGGCCCTCCTTACAATGGGTCATTGTGTTGCTGGTGGGACTACATTTCTTGGTATGTCAATGGCTAGGAAGTTAACTGGCACTGTTGGAAGGAGATTTTTTTTTTTTGTTTCAAAGCTTTCTGTATAGCTGATTCTCAAATGAGC